AACTAATAAGCCACCAGACCAAGGTTGCAGAATACAAAGTTAATATAGTAAAGCCAATCATTTTCTTATATACTAGCATAAAATTTGAAATTTAAAACAAAATACCATTTGCCCAAAAGAAATAAAATACTTAGGTATAAACCTAACAAAAAGGGCTCCTGGGTGGCTCAGTGGGTTAAGCATCTGCCTTCAGCTCAGTGAGTTAAGCATCTGCCTTCGGCTCAGGTCATGATCCCAGGGTCCTGGGATTGAGCCCCATGTCAGGCTCCCTGTTCAGTGGAGAATCCGCTTTGCCCTCTCCCTCTGTCGCTCTCTCACTCTCACTCTTTCTCTCTCTCTCAAATAAATAAATAAAATCTTTTAAAAAACTAACAAAAGATGTACAAGATCTAAACCCTTAGAGATTAGAAAATATTGTATTGTCCTCTACATATGGCTTTCTGCTACACTGAGAACCTTTAAGAATCATGTAGTAGAGCATCTTCTTCAGGGTATTAGTCCATGTAATGAAGCAATTCATTCCTGTGTATTAATTAAATGTATTCAGTACTCAAGGTGTACAATGACTATGCTGGGAACTGAGGATAAAAGACCAATAAGAGACAATTCTGACCTTATTTAATTTGGGGTATTGAAGAGGGAAAAAGAGAGTGAGGAGAAGTCAAAGAGGAGAAAAGTTTAGAGTGGGATTTGGGCTTATATTCCCCTGGTTTGACCTACTTTATATTTTGTATTTCTTTTGGGGTTGGGGTAAAAGAAAAGTCACGTAAGCCGGTTTACAATTATTTAAAGGTTTCCTATATGAGGCTCTGTTATAGCCAGATGGAACATGAGAGCCAAACCTTGGAGTCACCCCTCTAATGCAGTTTCTTCCCTAAGTAGCACCTGAAAAGAGCAAATGTGTTGGCCCAGAATCTATACCATAGGGTGTAGGACATCAAACCAGAGATCACTAAGACAGGAAAAGTGCTTATCTTCCAATAGAAGCACACTTCAAAGGATTAGGCACATACTTCAAAGAGTGTTTACCCTCCTGTCTCTTGGATGCCTTGGTCTAGTAGCCAGTACTAACACCCCATTAGCACCTCATTAGCCTGGGCTCAAGAATGCTGGAAAATAGTCCTGGACCTAGGAAGCATCCCTAGACTGACACTAAAAGATTCCTCCATTTTTCTTAGCACTTTTATAAATGCTCCAGTAGTCATCCAACCCCCAAAATAATACATGTCTCAGTTCTAGAGATGCTGTCAACTACTCATATGTACCAAAGTAGGGCAAATTTTAACATCCAGTATCATATATCCAAATCTTCCTTTAAAAATACCCCCCAAAATAGGCATCAGGTCCAGGAACACTTTGGTAACGGGGGTCTCCAAAATCCTTACCTAATAATGAAATATGCCCTCATTGTCAGATTTTTACAATAACTTGGTCTTTTCTGCTTTCTGTATATTCCAATTCTGGCTGCCTGTAGACCATTTAACCCAACAATTCACAGTACAACATCTGGGATGTTGCGGACACCAAAATTCTCATACAGCAATTCAAAACATTCTTTTTTCACAAAAAGCAAAATCATCTCCCTGAAGATTCTATTATTAGCACATGGAATCTGCTTCCACAGCATCCTGTAAGAGAACTGGACCCCCCTCTATAAATTTTCCCAGATGCATTCCACATAGTGCGCATCAGACTGAACAGCCAAACACACCAACCTAACATAAACTGTACAGTTGCCAGATAACTAACATTTTCAGAAACTTTGTAAGTGTTATTTGAAGGTGAAAGAAGGATCAAGAATCCTAACTTACTAAGGGGGAACAAGAGTGAGACCTCTTGATTCTATTTTGTTCAAAAGCACAGTATAGCACTTACTCTCTATTCGTAGCTAAAAAGAAAACTGGAAATATATGATGAAAATGAAATGACTATTACCCCTTTAAATTAATGGGCATTTCTGATGAAACTGGGTCAGTGCACTTCACATCTCATGAGCTGGTTGAAAGGTTAAGTTTTCCATGGGATATCAAGTTGTGATTCCACTTGGGAATTCCAACTATTAAAAAATGAGAGAAAAGAATCTTATTTGATACGCTATCTTGTGAAAACACATTGGTAAAACAAATGTCTTGTCTGGGGATCATTTTGTATGACTTAAAATTATCAAATCACTATGATGCACAGTTGAAATTATAAGATGCTGTATGTCAATTATACTTTAATAAAAAATGCTCCATTCACAAATCTATACATATTTTTACTCCAATGGACACATATACATTGTTCTGAACCTTCCTTTTTTATTTGAATATTATATTTCAAGATATTTCTGTAACCACATAAGGATAGCTATACATTTTTCTTTTAATGGCTACATATTATTTCTCTATCATTTAACTTTACTTGGGGTTATTTCCAGTTTAGTAAGCTAGATGTGAAATTTCCTTTTTTTTTTTTTTTTCAGAATCTGGTTTCAGTGTATTTTCGCAAAAATAAAATGGAAGGCTTTCTCTACTCCAATTTCAGAAAAGATTCACGTTTAAAGTACCATGAGCCTTGACCTTTTTCATAGGGACAACACTTTAATAATTTTTTTAAATAATTTTCTTCCTTGTAATTGTTCAGTTTGAGTTTCCCTGTCATCTGTTATCAATTTTGGTCATATGTACTTTCCTAGAGAATCATCCATGTATTCAGATTTTTAAATATTTGTGAAAAAAAAACCATAAACATTTCTTATAATTTCCTTTGTATCTGGTTATTTTTCCTTTGGTTTCTAATTTTGTGTGTTTGCATCATCTCCTTTTTCTCTTTAATGAGGTTAACTAGTGATTTATCTGTGTTGTTGGGAGACTGATTTGTGTATTAGCTCTACTATCTTTTTGTATTCTAATTTCTTAATATTTGTTGTAATTTTTATTAAACTTCTACTTCCTCTTTCTTAAAAAATAGTTTTGCTGGGTTTTTTTTCCCCTAACTTATTCTTTAAAAGATCATGTCATTTGTGCTTAAAGCCATGAATCTTCTCCTGAGCATGACTTCAGCTTTAGAACCTAAGTTCTTGTATATAGCGTTTTATTATTGTTATTTTCTACATGCTCTGTAACTTCAGTTCTGAATTTTCTCTTGAGCCTAAAACTTATTTGAGAATTGTCTTTCTTGTTGTTGTTGCTTTTAATTCTAGATGGTTGGGATTTTATTTTATTTCTGTAATAAATTTCTAGTTTCAGTGTATTGTGATCTATGACTACATTATGCCCTCTTTTTCTAGTTTGCACAATTTATTGAGGTTTTCTTTGTGCCCCAACATAAGTTTGTTTTTAATATTCCAAGACCATTAGAAATGAGACCATGTTCTCTGATTTCAAGTCAAGGAAAATGTGTGTGTGTGTGTGTGTGTGTGTATAGTTTAGATTTCATCATCATGTGTCTTTTTAAAGAAAGACGCATGGGTATTCTGTTCCCTGCATTCTTTCATGTCTGAGGTGATCTGTCTGTGTCCTATAGACTCAAACAGCTCCGCTGAGTCTAAACTTCTCAGATTGTCTGACAATACTTTCCTCCCTCCACAAATTTCCCTTCTTGGATTTATTGTTTCCCTTCTGTGACATTTCATTTCACAAAAGTAATATTGTCTTTAATCTACTTGATAATGTGGAGAATTATATGTTTGAAATGGTTTTTTCTACTTGTGGGCATAATTCCTACTCTGATGTGAATTAGTGATCTGTCTTCCATCATAAAAATAATAATAATAACTTGAGGACTCTCTACTTGCCACTTCACATGGATTAGCTCCTATTCCTCTTTCTTTTGTGTTCAATATCTGTGTATAGATCCCATGTTCACTCTTTCCAGAAAATGACATCCTTGAATGAAGAGAGTTCTTTCAGGACCAATTGAGACTGGTGTGAGAGGAGCCAAGGAGAAAAACTGGGACGGCGAGTACCTTGAATTCAAACATATTGTCTCAAAGTACTTTCTCAATAATTTTCAGGCCTAGGTATGTCTCCAGTTACAATGTTTCCTGCATTTAAGGTGCTATACCTCCATTTTTCTGTCCCCATGCCCAACACGGAGTTAGGGGGCTATCTTGCTGGGGCATTGCAAAGCACCTGTGGGTGTCCATAACTCCCTAACAAACTATCCTAAAAATAATGTATGCATTTTTACATCCACATACATTTTTACATATCTGCATTTTACCTACACATAATAAGTGTACTATGAGTTTCACTGATATAAAGGATGTATAGAGCACAATTTACAAAATATTCACAAAAAGATAATTATAAAAGTCTATAGCCAATTGATTCTCCCAGAACGCTTTTATTGAGTTTTGCCAAATTTGTACCCAGCCTATAGTTGTGACCGACAAGCAAATGTGGCTCTGACACAAAAGTTGGATGATATTTGCAGTTAGTTAATAAGTAAGATGAAAGTGAAGCAGCAAAGACGCACATCTGGGAGCTTCACGCTCTCAATGGTGACTTGAGCAGCTTAGTCACTGAACCAAATAATAGATTCAAACACTAAAAGGATACTTCCTCAAGTTTTTGTGCTGCAGATGTGACACTGTTCATTTGAATCAGCATTATTAATGTTTTCTCTATCACTTTAAGTCCAAATAATAAACAAACAATAAGCGAAGTGCTAATCTCTAGCATTTGCAGGTTTTCATGGTATGATATTCCCACGACAGCTGATTTCAAACCACCAATGTGACATCACTGATCACAGGGTTGGGAGGAAATGCATGGAAGGGCACTTTCATATAACATTTTCACCAATCAAATGCAATCGATGTAAACACCTCAAGGACATAGATAATTAAAAAATATGGTAATTAAGGAGTGATGAGTTTTGAGTACTTATTACCTTTGTTTTTAACATTATTGTAAGTTTATAATTTAATGACTGTGTTTAACGATCAACTTGCAAAATTTCAAAAATTTACAAATTGGCTCTAGGCAGCGGACCATGAGCTGGCTCCTACATACCATGATAGTCTTCAGCTGCTGCAATTCCCCAACAAATCCGTTTGCCTTCTAACATCTTCCCTCTTCCTAGTGATCAGCCTGCTTGTGAGAAAAAGGGATATCTGAGTCAGTCTGGGTACACAGCCTGACCCTGCTCCTCCCTGGCCATGTAAACCTGAATTTGACGACCTTCCAGCAGCAAATCCAAACCCCCAGATCCTGTCATTCCTGAAAGAGATCCTTGGTTTGGGCTTTTCAGGACCTAGCACCCAACTTGTAAAGCACGCCAGTCATTATCAGGGGTCAGAGATGTATGTGCCAGCAGACCAAGGTCATGTCAGTTTGGTCCTAACGTCACTGTTTCTCGCAGCTATACTTGGCAGGCCTGGCTTGCGTGTGCCCAGTTTCCTTTAAGATGGACTTTCTTATTTGTTTTACACCACTGTTATTTTGTATTATTTCAAGGAATAAACTGGGATAAAAACACATGTCCTCTGTCATCTTTTGCCAAAAGTCTGCATTTGGTCTTTAAATGTAAACATTTTCACTTGAGAGTCAGGTTCCTCTTTATAAGCAATGCCCTTGAGATACATAATCTAAAAGAGGTACCATACGAAAATTAAGTATGTCAGTATCAAAATAAATGTACCTCACAAAAGAAAGTGCTGAGCATATAGGGAATGATTACAAGGGTGGGGAAAAAACAAACAAAAAAAAGTCTATATGTTAGGACATTTGCCAATCGTATACAAATCTTTAAAGAACCAGATCTTTTTAATCCCCAGCTGAAATGCATTACACACATCGTTTAACGATAAGAAAGGAGGAACTATCTACATGTGTTTCCCATATAAATGGAAGAGACAATTTTTGAGGAGGGGAAACAAGGACATTGACTCACAATCAAGTCATTCCAAAGTGGTGGAGTCTGTGGTATTTATTCTCTGTGTGTGGAACATTTACAATTAAAAAAAAAAAAAGATAGCCCACATCATTCCCACAAAGTCTATTTGCTGAAAGGAAACATGTCATTGGACTGAAGAGCTCCAGAAGAAAAACAGAGGTATGTGATTAACATTCTCAGTGTTTCTTTCTTTTTTAAATAGAGATTTGTTTCAGAACATTTTGAGATATATCCTAATATTTAACATGGGAATACTGCCCATTTGGGTGTATATTTGTTCTTCAAAATTTGCCTCCAAATGAGAGAAGAAGAAAAAAAACAATATGACCTAGAGCAAGATAGAAAAATTTGTTTCTGGGAAGGACATGAAAAGATCCGGGAGACGGCAACACAGCACTCAATGTGAAGCTACTTATCAGGCCAAAAGTCGGCTATCTTCCCATAGGAAGGTGTAGGAGGGGAGCCCCGGCAAATCTTATCTTCGAAGGGAGATAGATGGTCCCTAGAGGAACAACGACTCCATCAAGTTTTCACTGAAGAGTTTCCAGATAAATAATGTCTTTCCACAAATAATTTGCTCTCGAAAGGCAGCACCCAGACATGGAAGCTGAAGGAATGGCTAAGGGCTGTGGAATGTTCTGAACATGAACAGTAAAGAATGTCCGTCTTTGTAATTGAGAAATGAGATCACTTTGAAAAAAAGAAATGTCTAGAACCAGGGCTATTGCACAAGGAAGGCACGTTTTTGGAGCCTCAGAAAAATGCATTCTCAAGATTAATCTTTACATCTGTTTCCAGAGGCTTCATTCAAAAGTCGACACTTTTGTACAAAGAACAGTCTAGCGCTGTGACAAGCAAGCCGCGTTGCCAGCAATGTCCTAGCGACTCATAAATCTGCGGGACATAGTGCATATAGAGTGCAACCACCCTCGCTACACCCCTGCAACCTCTCCTTGCCCCCGAAATTTGGAGGCTTGGAGTAAAAAGAGAAAATAAAAGCAATATAGAGTGTGAGAAGAAAGTAGCCTAATATATAAAATGAAAGACAAAGGCAGACTGGATTATGCCAGCGAGCCATCTGCACAGCTGAAGGCTTCTTCCAGCAAAAAAGGCTCCACTGTTCCTGAATCAATTGCTTCCTATTCACAGGCTCACTCTATAGGGCTAAATTCAAAATGGCTCTCGGGAACTTCTTGCCAATCCTGTGGTCTGATTTTAGGCTCTCTTTTTCTCTTGCTTTTTAAGACCCGAGGATGTAAGTACGTATCAGTGCTGTAACCTTGCCAGCATTCACTGGAATGAGTCAAAGGGACCTGGCATTAAATCACAGGGATTCGAGCTGCTAATAAATACAGCAGGCCCCATCCATTGTTGATTAATTCTGACTGAAATCTAAACACCAAACAACAAACACTCTTCTGAACTGCACTGGTACCCATTAGTTTGATGTGTTTATTAGACAGGGCTGTGTTCTTTCAAGTTTATTAACAACAGATTAAAAAAACTGCAAACAAATCTAGGTTTCTTCTTATGATTTAAAAGTGTGGGTACCATTTGCTAATGTTTTTAGGGTTTGACAGCAAATCCAAACAAAGCTAAAACATACCATCATGTCAAAGATCCCAGTACAAAGAATGAATAGTTATTGTCAATGCGCAGCTCCCGTTATTCAAGTAATCAAAATTTCTACGTAAGTTTATAACTTTAAGAGTTGTCATTTTTTTTAAAATCCATCTCTGAATAGAGATTTAAGGAGTATCATAGGATGAGATGTAAAATCTCTGCAAGTGATATAATCTATTGCATACTTTTAAAGATTATAGAAGATATTTCATGGTATTTGATTATAGTTATCAGATAGCAGACTTCCTAGAGGTTAATTCTAAATTGCACCAACACGTGGCCATGAATGTGCTTATATTATTTATTAACAGTGCTTAAAAGTGAAAAAAAATTACAAGCAAATATTCAGTGTGCAAAGATAATGGTGCCTCAGTATCAAGAATTCAAGAGATCAAAGACCACAAGTACAGATTTTCAAACTTTTAATATTAACTCTGGCTAGTAAAGCCTGGGTAAATCCTTGAAAATGTCCAAGGTATAGACTTTAAACAACCTGGTAGAAGACACTGAAGTCCCAGAGAGTCTCAAAAAGCTCCAATTACTGCTATTTCAGGTTCATCAGTGGGAGCAAAGATATAGAGACATATAAGCCATATTTATAGCCCAGGAAAATTTCCATAAAGTATATTTACCTTAACTTAAGCTGTCTAAAGACTATAAATAGATTTTACTGGCTTAAAGACTCTCTCTCTCTCTCTCTCTCTCTCTATATATATATGTATATAGAGATCTCTCTCTTTCTCTCTCTCTCTCTCTCTATATATATATATATCCTGTTAATAGTTTCTGCAAACCATGTAATTTTAAATAACTCTTTAAGTAATGTGTGAAGGGGGGAATAATTTTCAAGTTTTGACTAAACAGAAAATTTCTCATCAAATCTAGAGCCTTGGGAAAGCCATCATATCCTAAGGTCATGTGAGGCAACATCTTGATTTGAAAAGCCTTCCATAAGTGCATCTGCTATTGCATTCACAAAATATTTCAACCCAAATCTGTCACTGCTATATCTGGATTCTCCCCAGAGCTTCCCAGACCACCAGAGCTCAGCTCAGCAACTCCAAAATTAAATCATTACCTCTTTTAATCCTAAATCATGTCCTCTTAATTTTTACAGCATGTAAACTACTAAGCTCTTATTCTCTGCTTTTTTTTCATGAATGCATAAAAACCATGATAGTGAAGGTCGGAAGACAACTATAACAGATCATAAAATTGATTGGTCTATTCAACCCAAAGGTTACTGTTATTACGGTGGTACTGGTGGTGATTATGATTATGTGAGTCAAGAGTAATGTTTGATTTTATGACATGTATAAACAAATCCTTTTTACCAAAAGAAAGCATTATAAACACTTCAAAGACCATATGGTATGAAAAATATTGCTTTGTGTCTAAAATGGTAAGGATCCAAGCATCTCATTAAAAAAAATGCCATGTATGTTTCATCTAGTATATGCCTCCATGACTAATTGGTTGATAATCAATTGAATAGAGAGAAGAAAAGATGAGGGAAGATGTAAAGAAGAGGGAAGGGGAGGGGTGAAGCAGGGAGAGGAACAAGGAAAGGAGAAGCATTTATTGAAGCATAACATAAATCAGACAATATTTTCAATCAATGATAGGTAATCATGAAAACTGAAAGAATAAAAAGACAAATGACACCAATTACCAACAGTTAATGACTAAATATTCTGCCTCTATCAATCAGAAAGTTAGCACTTTATAAAACTAAACATCGCAGTGTCAATTTTTGGACAAATACATCAATACAATTAGTGTCTTATCTTTCAAGATAAATGCAGATAAATGCAGAAAATGGGGAATTCTATGAAAAATTCATCTAGTTTTTTTTAATCCAATTTGAAGCAAAATTCCTCTATCCAGAAAGTAAATGGTATTTTGGGTTGGCATCTTAGGCCCTTAATTATGTAGCCCTACACAGCATTTCCAGATTTATTTCCTATGGTGCCCTGATTTTGCATTCATGTGGTTTTGTTCCTGTCCTTTGTTTTATGTACAGTGTTCTCCCTTCTATATCCATCGTCAATTCTCCAAAGTCTCCCTCAAAGGCAGCAGAATTAATGAAAAAAATATAAGCTCTGAGACAGATAACCTGATCCAGAAGAAATCTAGATAAAGGAAGGGTGAACAATAATTACATAAATTAGAATATCTTAAAATTGTAAATTTATGTACAGCTTCCTCCAAAAATTGCACCACGAGCAGGATTATTATCGATCTCTATATTCAGTCAAAAATAAGCCTTCTTGGGGCGCCTGGGTGGCTCAGTGTCTGCCTTCGGCTCAGGTCATGGTCCCGGAGTTCTGGGATCGAGCCCCGCATCAGGCTCCCTGCTCAGAGGAGAGACTTGCTTCTCCCTCTCCCTCTGCCCCTCACTCCGCCCCTCCCCCTGCTCCTTCTCTCTCTCCCTCCCTCTCTCTCTCTCAAATAAATAAATAAAATATTTTTTAAAAAAGCCTTCTTTTAGACCTATTAATTATTTATTGAGTTCCTACCATATTCTGAGTACTATGCCCCCAACATCAAGGTGTTATAACTGCCACCCTTTCCTGATCCCCAGGTGTGTTCTAAACTACCCCTTTGAACCACTCTGACACTTAACACATTCTGCCTTTTTTGGTGTTTGGGTTTTGTTGTTTGCTTGCTTGTTGTTATTTACTTTTCATGTCCCACTATATTAAAAAGCCCTCAAAAGCAAGGTATTTGTCTTTAGAGGTCCCAAATGTCCAGCCTCTGGCACATAGAGAATGCATGGTGATCACTCGTTGAATTAAGACACAAAGCTGAGGGGTGCCTGGGTGGCTTAGTCGGTGAAGCATCCAACTCTTGGTTTCAGCTCAGGTCATGATCTCACAGCAGTCATGGGATCGAGCCCATGTCCAGCTCTCAGCTCAGTGTGGAGTCTGCTTCAGATTCTCTCCCCCCTCCTTCCCACTCTCCCTCTCTTTCTCTCTCAAGTAAATAAATAAAATATTAAAAAATAAAAAGATACAAAGCTGACTTTTAGAGAATGAGATTCAGAATAAAAAATCCACTTTAGCACCATGAGCAGATAGTTAAAGCCCAAATCACAAAACATGGGAAAGGATTTCCGAAAGCAATGGGGGTGCAACAAGTTAAAATGAGGAGAACCTGCGAAAAGGACTCTGAGGTACTTAAAGAGCCAGCAAAGTAGTCTTCTCGGAGGCAAGGAGCACACTGCAGTACAAAACCTAAATCCCATTTTTGCAAGCGTGTGTTCTGCCTGGTCTCGGGAATTTCCCTGTGCCTGGTTCCAAAAAGCAAAGGAGAAGGGGACCAATGGGAAGCCACACAAACAGGCCATATTTGCAGAAAGTAACGAAGGAAGAAGGAAAACTGCACTGGAAAGAAACAGACACATACCCAAGGGTCCTCCCCAAATAGCTGCCCATCTCCATAAGAAAAGTAAAGGCTAATCAAAAGCCTGAGCTATAATACAGATTCCAATTATCCTGGAACCAGCCCTGACCACTGCCCTGTGTGAGCCTCTT